TTATTCCTTAGCCGTCCCTCCACATCTCAAAACAAATTAACAAAATTAATTTTAATTTTATCTGGAAAAACAACCATTATTTAAAAAAAGTGATTTGTTAAAAAATTACGAAGAAGGTGTTATCAAAGCGACTGATTTTGAAAATATGAATGGTACTTTAAAAATAAGATGGCTTCAGTCTTTTAAAAAAAATGGTGATCTCATTTGGTTTGTTATGCCGTCGTATGTGTTTACAAAGTGTGGGTGGTATTGAGTTGCTTCTAAAATGTGATTTTGAATGATCTAAACTTCCCCTACAACTCTCACATTTCCATCAACAGGGTTTGTTACACTGGAAGTTCATTTTCAAGCACAACCTCAGCCCTCATAATGTCCCACTGTGGAACAACAGAGCCATTCTATGTGGTAGAAGATCTATATTTATAAAGCATTGGTGGAATAAACAAATCTGGTCAACTTCTCACTTAATGGATGGAAATGGTGATATTTTAAGTTTGGAGGAGTTCAACAGGCTTCATGGAACTGATTGTTCGTTAACAAGTTACAATAAAGTTTTGCGTTGTATACCTGATGTTCTCCTTATGTCAGTTAAAAACAGTATATCTAATTTCTCAATTCCAAAACTCCATAAGCTTTAAATTGAGCATGTGGACATTAGAGATAATAAATGCACCAATAGGTTCTTGAATCAATATTTTATATATAATATGTACCCTGGTGGAACTAAACGTACATTTCTTGTACAACATTTTAGCAAATTTACTATAATTAAAATTAGGACAAATTATTTGAAATTCCCAATTCCTCCTAAATATAAGGAATTACAATTTAAAATAATAAATGACATATATCCTTCAAATGAGTACTTAAGAGAGAGATTTAAACTCAATGTGGGAATTGTGAATTCAATTGGAAACTACTAATCATTTGTTTTATGGATGTAAAGAAGTTAAAAACCTATGGGATCTACTTCAGATCTTTCTATCTTCTAGATCTATAAATGTGGACTTTAATTCCTTACAAATAATTCAGTTTGGTTTTTATATTAATGAAAAAAAGGTGGAATTCGTAGTTAATACTTTGATGATTATAATAACCAAATATTATATCCATAATTGTTGTTATGCAAAACTTTAAAGCAAATAAATTATCAGATTTCTTGGACGAATTTCAGTTAGTCCCCTCTTCTTAATTTATTTTATTTTTATTTTTTT